CTCATACTGACTAAAAACCACCCCGTTCCTTCTCCTGCACGTCGAGCCCGAGCCCCGGTAACCCGTTAGGTTCTCCGCAACTCTGAATCGGCATCAGCCTTGTTGGGCCCCATCTGTGGTGGTCTGATGGCTCTTTAAGGCGCGCGCGGAACTCGACGCGCCATACGCTCGGGTCTGTTTCTGGTCGGACGGGGAGCCACCCATGCTCGCCGTCTGCAAGCCCGCGCTAAATAATATGCTTAGATTAAGTATATGTGAACAAAATGAAAACAAATTTACTTGTTTGTTTTTTGAGTGATGACAAACGTGGTCAGACCTCACCACACGCCACAGGTGCTGAAATAAAGTAATCAAAATTATCGGTTTAATCCAGTTTAATTCCACAAATATTACCAAATAATAACATCAGCAATTATGTCTATAAGTCACATGATTACTAAGATATCTTATTAGATACGAGTATCTGTCAAAATATTCCAAAATAAAGATTATATTAATGTTTCACGTCATACCATTGTTGTGATAATATTATTAATTAGTAACAAACTGGAGATTTGTTGCTATCGAATTCGCTTCTTATATTAATTTATCTTTCCAAATAAATAAAATATTGTGTAATATGTTTTTAAGGAATAGATAATTAATAATTAATTAAGTAATACCGAAAAGCATGCTGCTTAGCCTGCTCATAGTTATGAGCCCTTTTCGTGGTTTGAAAGTAATCGTATATACTCGTCAAAGTTGTCTTAGTAAACCGTAGGTATAACCTACAGGACCGAAGCAGCAAATGACCTCAGAGGCAAACTATCCTGCCGAATCGGAGGACTCGTCAAATCTAGGGTTCGAACAATGGCGTCCATCCTAGTAAACGGCTTGGGGGAGCGAGAGAGCTGCCATCGACTAATGGTAGATGAGGCTCTCATGAACCACTTTGGAGCCGTTGTGATGGTATGGCCTTCTAATTGGTGACATAAATCAGCTTCCGTTTATAGATCGTGATAACCTCTTCCCTCTACTCTACAGCCGCCCTACATATATCACGCCCATAAGCCAGGAATTGATGTGTACCCACAGAAATCCAATGGATGTGGCGTATGCCCTCAGCACAGTTTACAGTGGCATATACTCGTCCAGGTCGTTCGTGAGATCCCTCGAGATAAAAAGGTTCTCGGGGGCGATGATTCCAAAGTCACTCCCCGACACTTTATACCTGGTACACACTCAGGCAGAGAAGGAATCCCTTAAGAACCAGGGATACGGGTCGACCGTGGGATCACGCGTGCTCACGATACACGAGGCACAGGGACTTTCGTGTGCGAATGTGATTGTTGTCAACACAGCAACAAAGAAACATCAAATACATGACAGCGTACCACACGCGGTAGTAGCAATATCGCGTCACACGCATGGTTGCATCTATTACACAGACAACAGTGAAGACGCGATAAGCAAACTAATCAGGAAGGCGGCTGATGAGGGTGAGCAAGGTATTAAGGACTACAACCTGAAAATGGCTATCAAACACAGGGACGCGGCAGTCATGGGTGCTCTCTTGGGCGGGGAGTGTTGCTTGTGATGGAACGAATGCAACATGAGGAAATGTGTGTGCAGAAACATGTAGAAATAGAATATAACCAATTGACTTTGGACTATTGTACGCTTTATTGGAATCGGCCCATGTGGCAAAGGTTGAGGCGTCATGCACACATAAATGTCCTACAGTCGGTGGCGCTGTGTGTTGGGTTGTTCCGTTCCCAATAAAAAGGTTGACCGGACCAATTGCTGACACACACGTCATACTCGTGAACGGGTGCCTTCTGCTGGGTCAGGTCGGCTCTCCCATCTTGTTGGTGGGCTGGTTTCATAAAGCCTTTGAAATAGAAATAAATAAATAGTGCCTAATTATTATGTAACCTATACTTTTGGTAATAATTATAGATGTAGTTAATTGTAGTGTGTAACTAGGTTCCCTCTTTACTTTATAAAAATTGACTAGATGTATTATAATTAAAAAACTGTATGACAAGGGCACGGACCTAGAGTCCGTGGAGAAATAATCTATAATATTAAAAAAAAAAAAAACCTACAGGATCCCAACAATGTAACACCCACTTTTCACTATTTATGTTATAAGTCCCATGTAATAGGGGGTGAGCATATTGCCATATGCTGGGTACAATTACAGACTCCGTGCTACTACTGAGAATTTTTTAAAACCCAGTAATACTTTGCCCGACCCGGGAATCGAACCCGAGACCCTTTGCCCGGCAGTCGCACTTGCGACCACTTGGGCATCGAGGCAGTCTATTCTATATATAAATTAATAAAATGCATTCTACTCAATGATGAAAGTTGTCTTCGAACCCCGTATAGTATACTAATAAAAGAAAGGCTATTGTTTGATTATTCATTCTTTTTTTATATATAATATATTTGATGGTCCGACGTTTGCCCACTATCTCTCCTGGTGGTAAGCGATGTGCGGTCTACGATGGAACACGTCGTCCAGTCGTCGTCGTCGTCGTCCCATAGAAAGAAAATTCAACTGTGGGAGAGCCATGCTTCGGCACGAATGGCTTGACCGGAGTGATACCACGGCCTCATAGAAAACAGCGTTGTGTTTCGACATGTGAGTGAGGTTACCAGAGGCCCAATTACTCCCCCCCCCCTCCCTTCCCCAATCTCTCCAATCTATGAATCCCCAACAATCCTCAAACTCCTTATCCCGAAAATCGCCAAATGGCCGGTAACGCACATGTAACGCGTCTGGTGTTTCAGGTGTTCATGGGTGACGCCGATTGCTTACCATACGGTGATCCGTCTGCTCGTTTACCGGCTTATGCTATAAAAAAAGAAAGCTGTAGTTTTCATCAAGTTCACACTGAACCTTAGACCAATACTGATATCTATAAATAGCTTTGTTTATACCAAAACAACACTTATTTTTTATAGCCTGATTACGTATCTAACTTATATCATTTTCTTTTTTTAGTTAATCTTGAACATAAATAGCGCAGCCCTGAATGATAATACTATTATTATATTATAATACAGTTGCCATACATGATAAATTATTATAGTATTTTATTATCGACTAGCTTTTACCCGCGGCTATGCCCGCGTATTCCTATTTTATCCCATAGGAGCATTTAATCGGAAATAAAAAGTATACAGAGTATAAAGGAAATAAGTATACAGAGGGGATATGAATGGACTGTCGGTAGAGGGCACCCTAGACGGACATATACTGACCAGATTGGCGATATATTAAAGAAGGGCTAAATTAAGAGTACCCCTAACCGACGAGCATGCATTAAAAGATTGAAGACTCTTGATGAAGCGAAAGAGGTATGTAGAAGTCGTAGTAATTGACTTTCCATAGTATCTAGAGACTATGGACTATGAATGAAGACAGAGGTCTACCCCATGGGAGACAGGCGTGAATTTATGTATGTATGTAAAAAGTCCAATCACTTAAGTCAACCCATACCCTGTCTGTATACCAAATTTCATCAAAACCCGTTCAGTACTTTCAGCGTGTTTGACGGACAAACATCTAAACAAAGAAACTTTCACATTTACTATTTATCATTATTAGTGTGATGTGTAACTATTTGTATATTTTATGTAATAAAAGTTGTAGTCTTGTTTTAGTTGTAATGTAAAACATGTCAGTCGTTCTTTACCATTGAACTTAATAACATTTAAAAAAGTAGGGTCAAAAATAATTACCGTTACGTTACTTTTTTTTCGAGTACAATAACTTATCTGTGCAACTGTTGAAAAGAAAAATTCTTCAGCAGATTAAAAAAAAAACACAAAAAAGCTGTGGTTCTAAATTCGAAATATCTTATAGTGATTGTTTTTCTATTAATGAAATTGTAATTTATAGAGGTAGTAAACTAGCTACTTCCGCACGGTTTTACACGGTCTGCTCAGCTCCTATTGGTCGTAGAGTGATGTTTTATAGCCTATAGCCATCCTCGATAAATGCGCTATCCAACACAAAAATAATTATTCAAATCAGACTTGTAGTTACGGAGATTAGCGCGTTCAAACTTTATATAATAGTATAAGATTAGTTATCCTTTTCTGGTGATTAGGTAACTGCTTAGTTACCAAAGTAAGTAGTTTTAAAATATCAGTTTTCAGTAGTAGGTAGATACTAGGTACCCACTTAATTTAATTCGTGTCTATAGTATCTAGTTGTAATTAAAACCAAAACAATTTGATCCTTAAACAACAACAATGTAATCGGACGACAAAATAATTTCTACGAACAATTCGGTACTTGCCAACTAATCAAATTCAATGCTTTTTTCGAACTGTCAAAAACGACAGTTTTCTATGAATTTTGTACGAGATTGTGTATTGTGACGTCACGTTTTTTAGAGTCAAACAGCATAGATACTTATTTCTTAAAAATTTGCTGGAAAAATATTAAAATTAAGTTAGTCATAAAATCAATTAATTAAAGTGTGATTATTTTTAATATTTAATTGCATTGAACAGTCGAAATAATTTAGTTTTATTTTTCTTAAGGGGAGAAAATCATCGAATGACTTCTCCCGCCTGGGTGAGGCGGGACGGAGAGTCAGACTCTTACTGACTAAAAACCACCCCGTTCCTTCTCCTGCACATCAAGCCGGAGCTCCGGCAACCCGTTAAGTTCTCCGCGACTCCATCCAAATATTACTTACATTGTTGTTGTCAACCAGAATTTGATGTCTATTTTTGGCTTGTTTTTGCAAAATCATTGTCAATTTATTGATTACACGATAAGGTAATGTTGTTATATTATTTGTTATAACAAATACTAGTAATATCCAGTTTTATCACCAGCTTTGATATATCTAAAATCCTAAATGTGACTGATAAAGCTATCTATGAATTATAAAAGTAATCCAGTATCGAAATGTATTGTAGTTCTCCTGTGACCGGTAAAGAGACAGGTGCTTTTATTTATATATAAATAGTACCTACTATGTGTTAAAGTTACGATGTCTAATGCAGTTTTTAAACAGGTGAGTTAGACATTTCTTTATATTTTTGTGACGTAAAATAAATGTGTTTATTATTTAGTGTTGCAACACTGTTTATGGAAACTGAATATGAATAAATGACATCGATAATTAACATCAAAATCGTGGCAAAGCACAAATATTTTGTACACCAATAACAAATCCTTAAATAGATCTTATAATACATCCCAAGCGTAAGGGCTCGTCGCGTTCCTTTGTTCATAGAGCCATCATCAGACCACCACGGTTGGGCCCCAATAGACAATGCCAATATGGCGCGGCTCGGCTCAAAGTATAGGAGTAGGAACGGGGTGGTTTTTAGTCAGTAAGAGTCTGACACTCCCTAACCTCCCTCCCCGCCTAACCGAATGATGACTTTGCCCCTTTAAAAAAAATATAATTATATATAAAAAAAAAATCTTTATTTTCTCAAAAATACTCTACGGATACAAATTATATAATATGTTACAATTAAGAGACTGGTGTCTGTTAAAGGTATAACCTGTGTTACAGATCACCAGGCCCGGGTGACCCCCGGAGACATTGAACAATATAAAGTACTAGCTTTTACACGCGGCTGCGCTCGCGTCACAAAAAAATAAAAAGTAGCCTATGTGACATATACCAATACACACAGCGCCATCTATACCAATACTTTTGTTTTTCCTCGGGAATATCAATTTTTTCTGGGTTAAAAAGTACCGTATATATAAGTATATATCTTCTACATAAGTTCTGTTACGTCTGTCTGTTTAATTGCAGTTAAAAAAATTGGGTCCAAGGTCTCAGTGTCTTGTAGCCGAAAATTGAAAAAAATATTAGTTCATTTTTCCGTCAGATAACATTCGTATACTCACATACCAAACTTATTTCTACCAACTCATTTGAAGTTATTTCAGCTTTTGACTTTAAAATAGGATTGGGAAATTGTACCTGTACTTAAAAATGTTCCACATTTATTTCCAGATATGGATTGTGTCAGGAGTACTCCTCACGATGGTGGAAGTGGGCACATTCTTGGGATTCACCACCTGTCTACTGCCAGCGCTTAAGGATCCTGACTCACCTATTAAAGCCACATTGGAAGAATCCTCATGGATAGGTAAGACCCATGAAGGTGTAAATATTTATACCGTCATCATCGACCCATTTTGGTCTTTGTATCTTTAATCAAAATCAGTCGGAGGTGCTTCTCTCAATAAAAAAATCTTATTGGGATGTTAAGTAACTACTTAAGTGATCTAGTACTTAAAATTGTCGCGCAGAATCTAACGGGTTACCGGGGCTCCGGCTCGAAGCGCAGAAGAAGGAACGGGGTGGTTTTTAGTCAGTACGAGTCTGACATTCCCTCCCACCTCTCCCAGGCTGGAGCAGTCATTCGATGACTTTCCACCCTTAAAAAAGTACTTAAAATTACAACTCTTTGCCAAGTTGAAATGAGTAATATATCCAAATTCTTAATATACCTGTATATTGTGACGTGGATGTTTGAATCTTAATTAATCATCTTTTCTCTTCTTTACAGCTGCATCCTTCAGCCTAGCCTGGATACCAGGCTTCCTTTCATCATCGTACTATATGGATCGCTTCGGGAGAAAAATGGGCTTTATCCTGGACATCATTCCAGGAGCTTTAGGCCTCATCGTCATGTACTTCTCCACAAACGTCGCCTGCTTGCTCGCTGCAAGAGTTCTGCAAGGTATCACAGCGGGATCCACAACGATATTAGGCGCTATAGTTATAGGAGAATACTCCAGTCCTGTTCATAGAGGGATGTTTTTAAATCTGAAGACTGCGGCCCTCTACGTGGGCAGTACTTTAGTCCACATCCTAGGACACTACTTTCACTGGAGGACAGTAGCAGCTATAACTTTAATTCCATACTTATTGGCATTTGCCATGGTCTGCACATGGCCAGAAAGTCCGTCCTGGTTGGCTTCTAATAAAAGATTTGACAGAAGTAGAACGGTCTTCTACAGACTGAGGGGCAAGACGGAACAGTCAGAAAAAGAGCTGACAGAAATGATCGAAGCTCAGCAAGAACGACAGCCAACAGAAGAGTTGAGTGCCTACCAGAAATTGGCACATTTCTGCCAGAAATTTGGCAAAAGAGACTTCGTGATGCCTGTCTTGAATTATTTGTTTGCAGCGATTTTATTGGAGACGACTGGTAGACATATTTTCCCAGCGTACGCTGTTCAGATAATATCAGAAATATCAGGAAACTCAGGGTCCATTTATTACACTTTTGCCTTAGATGTTATAGTAGCCGTTAGTGCTACATTTTCATCTTATTTGATTAAGATTATGAAAAGGCGGACTTTATTGTTTACAACTGGGTTTGCAGCAGTTGTGGTCCTTAAGGCCGCGTGTGGTTACTTATACTTGGCTTCTAAGGACCTGATACCTAATGCGCCTAGAGTACCATTGTCTCTATTCGCTTTGTATTTTGCCATAGTTAATTTCGCCTGTGCGCCAATACCTTTGGCTTTGGTGGGGGAGATATTTCCTCTAGAACATAGAGCAGCGGGAACCACAATTGCTGGTATATTAATTTCTGTAACTAGTATCGTTACGTTAAAAACTACACCATTCTTGTTAGAGACCTTTAAAGTGTATGGTACATTTACAATATTAGGAATAGTTATGGCTATTTCTTTAGTATTTTTGTACTTTATGTTGCCAGAAACTAAGGATAGGACGCTGCAAGAGATCGAATACTTTTTTAATCATGGTCGGTTTAGAGAAGATGAAACTAGAAATAGGAAAGGTGATCAAGAGTTAGTTCAAATGATTCCTTGAAGTTTTCTCATTATTTTAAGTTAATGTGTGATATTTGTAAATATATTTAGGTATGAAACTGTTGTATATTTTATGTAGGTAATACAAAACGTTATAAAATAATTATACATGTTGTTTTAATAATAATTTCTATAAATTGTAATACAGTGACATCTGTTGAAACTAACCAGAACTTGTTCCTAATTAGAGGGACACAAAGACCAGATAAAATAAAAGACAGAATATAATTAATAAATCTTATTTATTTGTCAAATTCGTACTAATAACTATACACGATGACGTCACGACCCATGCAGTTTGGGTATCTACAGAGTAACAGCGAACCAACAACTAAATTAAAAACTAATAAAATCGCCTAGGAACAATAGAATTATATAATCGCCTACTGAAATGTCATTTATTTGATTTTATATTATATACAAAAAATAATAGTATCACATGCAGTTTATATATTTTACGTAAAAGTAGTATTCTGGTTTACCAGAATCGTCTGAAAAACATTTAAAAGAGATAAGTTCAATGTGTATAAGAATTAGCCAAATAATGTATAAAACAAACTAAAGATAGTATTTTTAAGCTTTTAGCTTTTTACTCACATTAAAACTGCCGCAAAAGATATAGAAGAATATTTAACACATCATATTACTTATCGAGATTACATAAATATAATAAATAAAAAAAAATAAACTAACAAATCACAAATCTAAAAATTAAATTAAACGATTTAAAAATATACTGACTACAGTTTACATATAAATTGACATAAAGTTAATATAAAATGTATTTTTATGTCATGATCTGATTTTAATATTAAATGAAGAATATTCCTTATAATAATGGTGACCAGCACCGATGAAGCTCATTTTCCATAAAATTAATAAAATATGTCAACAAAATTGATTAATGAAAATACAAAACAATACCTATTGGTTAAGATTTCATTAAGATTACATTTAAACAAATCGTAACCAATATAACTACAATTAATATAGTGAAAACGTAATATATTAGACTATATTAAATAATTTGTTGATTACTCGAGTTAAAATGAAAAGAAAATACATATTTCTTATACACAATATAATATGAACGTTAAAATGTCAATTTAAAACAATATTGTCTTGCATTCTGAAATCGTATTCCATTTTTAATATAAATGCATAAAAACATGTACAAAAACCGAGCAAACTGTACACTTATTTGGGAAATTAAAATTGTCTACTTACATACTAAGGCTAAACTAATATATCTAATAATACTCATTTAATACCTATTGTTATAAAAATATTGACTATCGACTTTGTTCTGGAGTAAAAAATAGCTAGATATAAATGTATCCTTAGTCTTCATGGGGCGAATTAAAAACTATACTATTAATAAGTACGGTACAGCTCTTGTAGTGTCATATAAAAACAAAGGTGTTCATTTTAATTATAATTTATGATATTAAAAATATATAATATGACATTTTTATAGTAGAATTAAGGTCACAATTGGGTAGTTTGTTATTTTTTTAAAATGTATATTTGGTAGATTACTGTTAAAATATTAGACACGTGTTTTTTTCTTTTATTACCAGATTAAATACTTTCGACGTTATATTGATTTGAAATATCGTGTAACGTCACAGTAGCAACGTTTTATATTTATAAGAACATGCCATGTAGCTCCTAAACTTAATAACGTTTTAGAATTGTTTCCTTGTACGATAAAATAAATAAATACGTGTCTAATATTTTTTCATTATCAAACTGTGGGACTAGGTAATCAGATTTTTAATTTTCTTACCTTGTCAGCTACCCAATTACAAGCAATTCCATCTATACAAAACTGACACTTCGGTATAAAGCAGTTGCTCACAACCGAAGAGTTGTAGAATGAAGTTGCTGTCATAAATAGTTCATTACCTTTGTGCTAGATGGCGTTGGTTGTACCTTTATATTCTGGTCCTTTGGGTTGCAAAAGGACCAATTTGATTAAAGCTTATTGTTAGTGATTTACTGGATAATTCACATTGTTTTATATTGTAGAATAAATACCCCATAAAGACAAGGATATAAATAAAAGTAAAATATAACAGTAATACGATTTCAGAATGCAATTAAAAAGACAAAAGTATACTTGTATTGCTTTATAATGAAAAACTTGAGCTTCCAACTAGGATACACATGAGATTAGTAAATAAATGATTGTACCATATTTTTCTTACACGCGTAAGTAGACATTGAATCTTCACGAATTATTTTGAAAACGTTATTAATGATTTTAATTAAATCAAACGACAAAACTAAACTTTATCAACATTTTTTCATTTACTAAAGTATTAAACCTAAGACTAAATCTATTACAAGCGATAATATTTATTTGTAAGCTATTTATTTACAAGTTAAGGCTGGACTGCGGTTTCTTAGCGTGAACGTGACGTGTTGTTAGTCAAAATTGTCTTCCGATTTTTGTCATTAATGCCACGCAATGTTCACGCTCGCAAATCGCAGTTCAGCCGAAATTTCACAGCACTGGAGAACTGGTATTATACAAACGCCTTTTTAATGTTTTTTTTTTCGAAATATTTTTGTTAAAATGTAACATGTTTTAACATTATTTTAGTTTTTGAGCAGATAATAGATAGACAAATAATATTATATTATTTTCCTCAATATAAAGTCATATAGAATTCATGTTAAACTTTTACTGGTTGTATTAATTTGATTTCAAAGCAAATGACGACTTTATTCCATTGCTCAAAATAGATTTAAATGTGAAATAATAATTATTCATATTAAAAACTAGTAATCATTACAATCAAGATATTACGCCTTTTATTTTAACATTGAGCTTATCCATTTATAGGAAAACTTTGTTACGGATTGAAACGGCAAGAATTTTACTATTTTTTCATTATTTTCTCGATGTGACACGCTAGACATCTATAGTCAAAATCATTTGTAATAAATACTAACATTTACTTTGTTAGTAAGTGGATTTTATCTTTATCATTTACATATCGGTATAGATAATTATTCAAAACACAAATATATAATTCATTGGAAGATTGTTAATGTGATTTCTATTAATTTTAACAATCTAGCGTGTCTTAGAATGTCGTAATATTATTGTATTTTAAAATTTACCCAAAATACGGCTCACAGTTATCCAATAACTTCGTTTAGAAGTCGGATAACCATTTCACTCACGTTGCATCGGTCGAGTAGTTAAGAGGTAGGTATGTGTTCATCGTTGACGTGGGTTTGAAGCCCCGTTGAGGCTCCTCAGTTCCGTGTAGGGTTTTCGGGAAAGAAGCTTGTAGTCTTCACCGCCAGATACTCGGATGTAGTCTTTTCGTTTTCTATACACCATTAGTCTGTAAAAGAGAGAATATTTGTGAGTAAAGTTCAACAAAAATAAACAAGTTCATCATTAGTAGTTTTTTTAATCATCGCTTAAAAATATGAGGCCCGCAATACAATAATATACAATTTCAAATTAGTAGGTCACATAAGTAACCCGGTAAACTATAGTTATAAATTAAGCTTTAGAGTTTTACAATTTTATGGTTATACTACCTACTTCCGCGCGGTTTCACTCGCTCTGCTCGGCGCCTATTAATCGTAGCGTAATATTTTATAGCCTTCCTCGATAAATGATTTTTCAAATCAGTAGTTTCGAAGATTAGCGCGTTCAAACAAACAAACAAAAAAACAAACTCTTCCGCTTTATAATATTAGTATAAATTAATATACACTTTAATTTAAATCCAAGTCATTTAAAAGTCTATTAATGAAAACTAAACTTAGCTGTATGCTAAAATGCTAACTTACATAATCATTTTCAGTACATAATAAATATAGAAATCGCTACTGTCTAGATATTATGCTTATATACAATACATACACATTATGTACACACATGAGATAATAAGTAAACCAAGTAAGTATCCTTAGTTTTATCACAAACAAATATATATACTTACAAACTACATAACAAACGCAACGTTATTTTCTAAGTCATAATGGTGAATTTTGTACACATCTATACTAATTACATATCATATACATCGTACAGAACAAAAGCAGCTTTGTTTTCTAAGTAATGAGGGTGATTTTTGCATGTGACAGTGTTTGTAAGGCTAGAATTAAGTTCTTAAGGAAATTTGCATCATTCTTTTGTTGTTTCTTTACTTATGTGTTATTTACTATGGGAGATACGGTAATTTTATATATATTTTATATACAATACATTAATTATTTTTGATTGCTTCGTTGGTATAATCGTGCAAAGATGTAAGTAGTTCGATTTTAAGACAAAGAGCAAACAATTTTAGTTTATTATACAAAATATTGTGTCTTATACATCGACAGACGAAATTAAATTAATTATTGTTAACAACATTACTGTTTCATGATATTACGTGAATAGGAAATATTTTTTTGAAAGAATTTGAAAAAATAATGAAAAATTTATATGAAATACAATTTAGTCATTTGAAGCAATTCATTCCACCCTGTATACACAAGTCTATAAAACAACTATGTAACAATCAATAAGCAGCTGCAGTTGATAAACAAGCAACATTGAACTCTAATTACTAATAAAATAGAACATAAACAGTAAACAATCGCGTCACACATGATCTTGGATCATCCTCACGTTTAGCATCTGTTTTGTAAACAGCAATTAGTTCAGTATAATACTGTGTAAATTGTAACTACCTATATATAATAGTCGTTACAATAATTTATTGATAAATTAATATTTGTAAAAAAAATAGAACAGATAGTGTTTTTCTATTATATTATTATGGTCTATGACTGCCTCGTTGGCCGAGTGGTCGCAATTGCGACTGCCGGGTAAGGAGTCCCGGGTTCGATTCCCGGGTCGGGCAAAGTATTACTGGGTTTTTAAAAAAAAAATCTCAGTAGTAGCACGGAGTCTGGAACTGTGCCCGGGATATGGCAATAGGCTCACCCCCTATTACATGGGACTCATAACATAAATAGTGAAAAGTGGGTGTTACATTGTACAGTGGTGTAATGTGCACCTCTGCCTACCCCTTCGAGGATAAAAGGCGTGATGTTATGTTATATTATTATTATGGTCCTTGGGGTCACAACAACTAATTTTAGGAACCAATATACACATAAAAAGCATTATATTTAAAGAATTAAGTAACTTTAGTGACTTTTAACCTGTGGCAGCCGGAACGTAGATCTACGCGAGACTCAATGTGTTTTCTATTGTGTCTTATATATCAACACCCAAGAGGTTAAATACCTTTTAGATTCAAACCAATGTGCGACAAAAGTATACCAAGATAATACCTATGAAAAAAAGCAGTTACGTTAAAAATACTAACAGAGTGGGGCCTCGAGTTCTTACTGTTTGAGTACATAACCCTAAAAATGTTCAACATCTGTTATTAATGAGCATTAACCTAGAATACTTGTATTCGCTTAAGATTTCACAATTACTTAATTAAATACCTCCTTTATTGAGCTAATAAGTACTGCAGATCAAAGGACCACTATAGCCTTGACTGTGATTAATGGGAATCAGTCTACAATAGCGATGAAACTGCAAGCAGGTTGCACAAAAGGACCGCCTATTATGCAGTTTAATACTTGAATTGTGTTGCACAGGAATGACTTAAATATTATATTCCAAGATTAATCACACATATATTATTATTTTTTCGGCTTACTCACGAAATTATTTGACGAGGAACTCAAGCCATTCTAGAGGCTCATATTCATGAGATCACTCATCCAGTAGCAGCGCGACAGTCACCGCGTCGCGGGTCGCGAAATGCTGCTCATGAATATGAGCCTCTAGTATGGCTTGAAACTAGTCGAGTTCCTCGTCAAATAATTACGTGAGTAAGCCGATAACATAATATTTTATTTAGTATGTTTCACGAAAGTTATAAAAAATACCTTTTTAACAATAACTATAAATAAAAAAATAATTTAAATTAGTACTTTACTACTATTATGATATCTTAGTAATAAACAGAGAAATGTGTTAAATTCTCACACAGAAACAATGTTGCAAAATAGTTCTCACAAACCAGTAGAGTGTAAAATTAAACCTTACATTCAATATTAAAAATAAAAACACCTTTCTAATTCATCAATACATTATCCGCAAAAAAACAACATGCTGTACATGAACGCGGCTGGTCAGAAATTAATTGCATCAAAGTATGCGCGTACGCAACAAGATCTAGCGAATGCAGCGGCGAGCTCAGTACTCGTGTGACAGTCGAACTGTTAGGACGTGCCATTTAATACATTTTTAAATATTATCGCGAGATTTCATTACGACGCATGTGAAGATTGGAACAGATTAATGGGGGACAGAAAAGGTAAACAAATAATAAATTAATTAACATATCAAGGTCAATGTTAGAGATAATATAAATAAGTGATTATTTATTTAATTAAATAAATGTTTTTATTATACTTTAAGTTGATCGCAAAGGCAGTCTTCCATTTTCAAAATACAAACGAGAGTGAAAAGTCTCATAATAAACTTGATTAAAAAAAAATGTGTAATGTTAAAATTTCTCGCAGCATTATGGAAAGTGCAATTCACTTGATGCAATAAAAGCTATAGATTACTCGTTTGATGATGGTTGCATTCGTAAATATCTCTTGATCATTTTATCTCTATCTGAGATAGGTACTGATTGAATTTAATTTAGGTATATTACGAGATAGACTTTGAGAACGACATGATGATTCTGGACTAGGTAGAGGCTCTAAAACTTTATTTATGTATTACTAGCGACCCGCCCCAGCTTCGTACGGTTGCAATGTGCATGTATTATACATATAAACGTTCCTTAAGAATCACTATTTCTATTAAAAATAATCGCATCAAAATCCGTTGCGTAGTTTTAAAGATCTAAGCATACATAGGGACAGACAGACGGCGGATAGCGACTTTGTTTTATACTGTGTAGGGATTTATTTATTCATTTATTTAATGCTATCAATTACCATTACAGACTAATCCAATACATGTAGCCATCAGTCTTACAAATACTTACAATATATTTCAGTATTTACTTAATATCTAATTATATTACAAATCAAATCAAATCAAATCATTTATTTGCACAAAACATGGTAGGTAACAAGATGTTGAATAAAATGTTTATGTACAGCATGTTTTGCCGTGGAACACAGCGCGCAAAAGTATTATTAAATGATATAAATTAATACGAATACATTAATACGAGTCATTTTACAATATAATCAAATTAGTATTAGATAAATAAGAATTTCATGAATTACATTTTAATTTATGACTTATAGGTACTAACCTAGATACAATACAACAATTCGGATGAAAACAATAAAGTTCCCCATTAAAATATAACTGTTTAAGTTAAATATTTAAAACTACAATTAATTATTTATAGGTACTAGATTATTTAAAATTTTTTTTATTTATAAGAGGACCTCCGAGGTCCATCTTAAATTTCACCCATTAAGCATCATGAACATTCTAGAGGTATAAGTGGTAAATGCTGACCAAAGGCCTCTTCTCACACGGAAAAGGTTTGAACAATAAACGCCACACTTGCTCAGTGGGTTGGCGATTTCAAACTTATTAATTAGAAATTAGAAGCTTAGGTTTCTTCACGATGTTTTCTTTTACCGTTTGTTAGTGGTGTCTAAATAATCTCAGAAAGTACATATAACTCGGAAAGTCACATTGGTACTTGTCGTTGGTAGGTTTCGAACACGCATTCTCAAGCATAAGAAATGGGTGTCGTAAACCTCCGGGCCACCACGTCTCTTTTTATTAAGCATACTTAAATGCAATCTTTAATAACTTAATATTTCTTTATCTAATGCATATTGAAACTTATTAGCATCTAACCCGAGTTTTCGTGCTTGGTAATTGAAACAAGTGGTTCAAAACGAGTCAATATATAAGGAGATATTGTAAGAAGGTTGGTTGACACTTCAGGTGATCGAAGGGCTGGCTACTACCTTGGGCAAAGGCTAAACATTGCCATTCAACGTGGCAATGCTGCCAGTCTTTTGGGCACCCTACCTCACGATAGCGACGAGGAATTTTTTTTATGCCTTTTTTGTTTTTTTTAATGAGGAAAAATCATCGAATGACTGCTCCCGCCTGGGTGAGCCGGGAGGGAGTGTCAGACTCTTACTGACTAAAAACCACCCCGTTCCTTCTCTGCACGTCGAGCAGCATTTTTATTATCATTACTTTTTTTAAGGTATAAACGAGTCAATTAAATATAATATTGTAATAATATAAAATTGAATACAGTAGTGATTGTAAAATTCAATAATCGTGGTGAGACTTGTAAGTATAAGTAAACAAAGTAAT